TGTTCATTACCAAGGTTCAAACTGTATGAAAAATTGCTGTGGGAGAATCATTCACAATTGATTTATGGTTAAACTGAGAGAAGTGGAACTGCCATGGCCAACCCACTGTCTTCAAAATATCTTCCAATCTTGCATCAACACTAAAAGCTTTGCAGGAAGCTGTTTCTATCATTTGTGTACCCAAACACAAGGCATTAGCCCAGCACATCCCATTAATCATTCCAGCCACCTAGAAATGAAAGCTGTAATAAAATAGAGAAAGGGAAAAAATTAATAATTTAGTACTTGGTCTCTATCTGGAAAAATATATCATTCTAAAATAAACACTTCTCTCTTTATAAGCCTGAGAGAGTCCTTAACAATATTTATATTACAAAATCTAACCAATTTATTCATCTTTCTTTAAGAAAAAAAAAGATAAATCTGTCAGAGGGAAGACTCAGGCTTCAGAATATTTGTTCATCTTATTGTTAAAAAATACGTAATTTCTCAAGAGCTGTTCAAGGCAAGCTAAATAAGGGCATGGTTTCCTATAACAGATCACTTTGGAGATCAGCTGTTAAATGTTTCCATATGCTTCAAATCAATACAAAGGGCACATGGATATTTAGATTAATTTCTATGCTCCAAGAAGTGCAAAAATATCTAAGGCCACGCATTCTATGCTCACCAGCAAGTTCATCATCAACAGACACATTACTTAGGGGCTGCATCATGCCTTCAGGAAAATTTAACCAGTACGCTGCTGTGGCACAACAAATGTGTTGACCCTGAGCAGCAGCAGAGTGAAAGAAAAGTGAAAGGAAGTTAAAAATTATGATTCTCCTTCAAGGAACAATCTCTCAACACAAAAGGCAACTTTCTGACACTGTGGAAGGAACTAGGACCTACTGTGAAAGAGCCATCTGTGTACAGCCCTGAAAGAAGGAAGTCAAGAAAGCCACTAGAAAATCACACCATGTTATTCTTGCTTACATCTATTGAGCAATCCCCTATCACGCTTCACTGTAAATTCATTTGTGCCTGCACACAGCCAGACACACACATTTGTTTCATGTACACCTGAGTAAGTGGCTTTAGGCCACTGGTTTTTTTCCAAAGTATGCCAACTAGACTAATAAGATAGTACTACATGTTATAAATGAGATTTTTAACGTTGCACAGTAGCTGAATTACACTGTATCAACACAAGCACTAGACATCTCTATCAAAGGTTGTTTTTTTTTTAATGAGTACAGTACACTGTATTATTCTCTTATAGAATGTAAACAGGATTTCAGAAGAGGAACTAATCACAAAAAATTCAAATAACAGTTTGAAAACTGGAGCATGAAGAAACTAAGTAACAAACCCTCTGACAAGGCACATTTGTTGGGAGTTATGCTTTTATAGGACTACAGCTGTCACCTATCCTTTAGCCCTCTTAAAATCTTAAAGTTGAGGTCATGACATCAAGACTGAACTGTTAATATCACCTCCCAAATTAGTCATAATTACTATCTTTTTGAACCACTGTGGGGTTTCATCCTGAACCCCTGTGGGCCTATGCTACGGGATGAGAAGAGACTGAGTTCCTGACCTCTCACCTCCACTAAGGATAATCAGTATCCTCCATACTTGTATTATTTCTCCTCTTCTCTATCTCCTAAGGCTATATTTTTGGTCCTTCTGGCAGGAGCCTTCTCAGGCTCTTGAATGTTCTTGCCACCCTTTTTCTAATCCCACTATTTCAGTCACATCCTTTTTGAGCTTGGGAGGCCAAAACTCTGCACTGTGTTCTAGCTGAGACCACAGGCACAGCTTTATACAAAAGGCTGTACAATATCCTCTCAGTTACTCAACTTCTTAGCAGTCTTCAGTGATGTGCAACCTAATATCACAGTTGGGTTTTGGCTGTTGTAATTTGATCAAGTGTCCCCACTGATCTCTCACACCCATCTCTTCTGGATCTGAAGAATCCAGAACTGACTGTTCACACTCAGTCGTTCTTTATTCACCACTGATCTTCATCCACCACTGTTCTGCCCACTTGGTGGAAAACTTTAGAATTAATACTCCTTGATCCTCCTGAACAGACTGTGTAAGTATTTGCACACAGATTTTGCAACATGATGGCTCCAGCTCTCTCTCAATAAATATGTAAACAACAGAAATCTTTCTTAATTGGCAGATGCCCAAAGCCCAACTTTGGTCTTTTTCTACCCCAACAGATTAGTCTAACCCTCTGCTTTTCCTCTCCTCTCCAGCTTTCAGTCTGATAATAGTATTTTGTCTGTTACTGCACAACATTGGAGTTTTTGTAGGTTTTTTTTGTCAAGAGCTCTATCACTCAACAGCATTTTGTTCCCAATTGCTCATTACTTTTCTAATACATTCTCCATGCTAGAAGACCACTGAAACACTGGCTCTTATGGCAAAAAAAACCAAAAATCCAAAAAACCAACCAAACAAAAACAAACAAACAAAAAAAGGGCAAAAAACAAAAAAACACCACCCAAAAAAATGGTGGACTACATCATGCCTCTCTAGTACTTTACCATTGTTTTTTAAATGAGGATTTCAAGTTGGTTGCCAAGTCCAGATGTAAAGTGTTACTTAAATATATCACTGAATTAACTAACTACGCCTGTAGTTCACAGCTGAAGCTCTGTTTCCAATATAATTTATAGGAGACACAAGGCTCAAATCAATGTGAAACCCAGCCACAAATCAAAGTCCTCTGGCACATGGGACCAATTGTTCTAGCAGAGGTTTGCTGCTGGAGCATTCAGCAGTTAGTGCTTGAATCCCAGCCCTTGGCCACTCCATTTCTGCTCATAGCGTTTTGCTATCTTCAGTATTGCACTGCTCTCCTTTGCAGATTTGCCAGGTACCCACGCAGATTCATGGGTATTTCTGTACAACTTCTAGAAACCAGAACATGCCCAGTTATTCTAGAAGCCTGTCAAGGGTTCTTCTTGCCTCAAGGTCCTCCATAATTTGAATTCTGAGCTCCAAAGACTCATATGCCATGCAGGAATTCAAGACTTTGATATGGGACGCAAATAAGAAATCCAGGAAGGACAGGAGAAATGAGTAGGACACAGTGTCTTCCACTATCTCTGCTGCACCAAGAAAGCAGCTCTGTCAAGGATGTATTTTTAATCCTTCTTCTCCAAGAAAAAGTCAACTAGATGCTGTGTACCTTTGAGGATGAGTGCTAGGAAAGAACAAGGCAGAAGAATTCCACTGACTCAAGGAAATGAAGAAAGAAAACCTAGTGTGTATGATGTGGTCCAATTTCAATTTCATCATCTTAGATGGAGAGACAGAGACTAATATGACAGCAGGGTTAGTGTAGATAATATCCATAATAAAAAATGCAATAAAATTACAAGGATGCACTGGTGTTATTACACTTTAGAAACTAAATTCCAGCACTGAAAAACTCAAAGGCATAGACATATTCTGAAATCTTCCAGACAGCCCTCACAATGACAGCATTGCTTCCTCAGGGCTCAGTCCTGCCTTGCCTGAAATTAGTCTGTCTTCTTTTCAGTTTCAGCACTGCAAGACTAAACCTTGGCATCTTTGCTCCATGTAAGCATCCACAGGTCAGTGGAGAAACGGCAGCTGCTCTCCCTTGGATCCCTGTCCTACACTTCTTTGTTCACGAGTCTGCAACATTATCAATGTCTCATTATTGAATCAAAAGCCATCACAGTGTCTGAAACGCAGCCCAAAAGTGGGCACTCCTTGTCTATTTGCCCCCCAGGTCAACAGCATACAGGGCAAAAAGAAAACAACAAAACCCCCTATGTGTGTGCTTCCTCTGCTCCATGACAGCTGCATTTCATCATGTCATCCACCCCAGGATCACTGTCTCTGGGTTGAGAATATAGCTCTGTTCCCAGCATGCTCCCCATTTGCCTGTCAGTTTAGTGCTGTGGGTGCTGAGTAACCCTCCTTCTTCCTTACATCAGCATCTTTAAGGCTTTAATATTCTGTTTGATCTCTTTGAGACTGTGGGAGGAGTAAGCAATTTTCTGTCTGGCTTATTAGCTAGGTAGGAAATACTCCCCAATAAACACATTCCATAGCATTGCCTTTAGACCTCTTATCCATGACATTGTTCTGCCCTTTTTTTGGTTTCTTATAAGACATTTTTGTTTAACTTTACGCATTCAGGCAAGTAGATATAATGCAAATAACCTGAGAGCCAATGTTATTTATAACTTTACTGCACATAACACCCTCATTCTCCCCACCACCCTTTCACTTTATAAAAATAAACAAGAGTAAACAGGCGCTCCAGAAAAAGAAACCCAGACATCCAGTATTAAAACTGAACAGCAAAGAGCTTAGCAGCAGCAAATATAACCTCACCTCGTTGTGAATAATGCTTTGCTATTTAGTCTGGTTACAGATGCCCTATGCTGCAAATACTATGCTGTGATATCAGCTTTTTTCTACAATCTTTGCCACAAGTCTGGAGGATTATGTAACTGGAGGCCAAAGAATCCATTTGGAGAATTGAAAAACAGCAAGTATGTTTAAATATTAGGACTTTAAAAAATTGAACAAATCAGAATGAAAATGCTGAAATATAGACAGTGTAGTGTGAAAAAAATGGGAAGGGGAAGGGGAAGGGGAAGGGGAAGGGGAAGGGGAAGGGTCTAGCTGAACAGCTTTAGAGGAACAGCTTTTCCCAGCTTGCTGCCCAGATATTGTGAGCAGCGTTTCACATCAGTTGCCCACAGTTTCTTTCAAGGTACAAATAAAGGGGTAAGTGTCACTTAACACAGAAACATCTATTACTCAAGCCTCCTGCTCATCACAGATGAGGCATATCCCTGGTTTACAACATGGGCTTCATCTCTGTGGAGGCTTATGATAGCTTCAGAGTACTTGGCCAAAATTCCCAACAAGCCTGCCATCAAGCTGAGAAGTGAAAGGGCACTCAAATGCTTATTTTGTGTTGTCTCATGAAGAAAATCTTTAGAAGAATGTTACAGGGAAGCTTTTAGAGAAAATAAAAATATTTATTTCTTTCCTCTTCTGAGGATTTCTGAATTCACACTGACATTTGACTGAGCAGCTACTTAGCATGCTGTACACCACATTTCACTTACAATAACAGCGCACACAGTAAAGTTCCCCTTTTCCCCAGAACATGACAATAGTGTATATTTTTCATAGAGTGTTACAATTTTTCAAGGTTTGGGGGTTTTTTTTCTTCTATTTTTAAAAGCTCAAACAAAGGACAATATGTTTGAAAGGAAGGCTCTATGATGAGAGGGACACTGAAACTGGAGATACAAAACTTGTTTCTATGATACATTAAATATCCTACCATGGTCAAACAGACACACACAATAACATTTATATGTGCAAAGGATCCACAACCGCAGGTCTTCTACCACCTCTAGAAGTTGCTTCAGCAGCAGATTTTGTAATCAGTCACAGGCACCTGTAAGACAAAAGAATAAGGAACAAGTGTTAACAGAGAGACACTTTTCCCATCCACAGCTTGCAGCTCATTAGAATTTGCAAGAATCTTTAAGATCAAGGGTGACTAATTCATCTCTTGGTCCTGTGCCATTCTGTGATCGGCACATGACTGGTATTTGATTTATCTGTGACCTAGGTGTACAGCAGGGGCAGCAAGGCTGCTCATGGAGACACCCAGCAGCACCCAAACCTATACAAGATGGAGGAAGTGAAGCAGCATCACACCTATCAACCTCCAATCAGCAAGACCACCCTCCATTTGGTGCACAAAGTGGGTGTTTTTACCCACCACGCAGCACTATGGTTTATGTCACTTGTGCTGCTAACAGCACGCTGGGGAAAGGTAAGACAGCAAACACGCATTTGTAATACACCACCCAGCTCATCAACAGGAACAGTAAAACCTTTAAAACAGACATAACAGCAAAAGCAATTAAGGAAACTCCTTCAGTTCAGAGCTACCTGGGGCGAGCACATGAACTGGCATACAAGCTGCCTGGAGGCCCTGGAGAGCAGTTGCTGAATTAGTGAGGATTGGAACAACTAATTGGTGATTGTTTATCAAATAATACACTAGCAATTCCACTGTGCTCTAAGAGGGAGGCAAGAATAAAGCCATTTCAGGTGCCACCACTGTGAACTTAGCATTTTTCTAAGATACATAAGACGTATTCTTCAACTCTTTTAAGTGTCCATATGCAGACTAGACAGAAGCTGGCAGGAGGCACATTTATAAGTGCATTTATTTCAAGTGTCTCTGCTAGTTCAAAGGACTCAAACAAAAAGCGTTGTCTAAAAAAAACACAGATGTGGTTTGGAGAAGAGAAGGAGGACAACTTATCACTTTTGAGGTGGGAGGAAGGGATGGCAAATATGGTACTAATTAATATAAAACCTTCTCCTTGCTTGCTGCCCTGCTGTCCCCAAACACACAAAATGAAGAATCTACCCTGCCTGGCTCTCTCAATACTCTTGGCACGTACCTCCTTCTCTCTCCCCCTCGCACTCCCTCTCTCTCCATAAAGGGGCATGAAATGAGAAATTTTAGCAAGGTTTCTTTACAGAAGAGAGGCTTGGCTCCAAGCCCAGTATACATATGTGGGAGGGAGTCTTCAAAGAGAGACTCCCTCAGCGCTGCCCAAGCAAGCCGTACTTCTCACGGCCTGCAAGGGAGGTTTGCTGGGACTCGCTGGCTCAAGCCCCACCAGTCCCTCAGAGAAAATAAATGCCCAAGGAGGCAAAAACATCTGCATGATGACATAATTTTCCTTAGTTTGAACTCTAGGAAAAAAATGACCACATGTTGAGAGGAATGGTTAAAAAACCCCCCAAACCCAATCAAAAAGCAAGCAAAAAAAACTTGGGGTGTCACTGGATTTCCCTTTTATATAGCATGTCCACTTGTATGAATTAGTCAATTTATACTAAGGATTATTTGTTGTCTTTAGCCTTGTACAGATGATTTCTTTTCAACAACTCCTCGTAGACTCTTGTAATGGTGTGTTGGTATAGTTACACAAGCATAGACAATTTACACTTACAGAAAGGCCATTTACAGGTATAGTTTAACATTTCCTTGAACAAACTGAGTTTTCAAAGAAAATATTCTTTTTTTTTCCCCTGGTCTAACTTCATACATTCTAGGGCTTCTGCTAGCATAGCAATGATGACAAAACTATAATAAATCCCTACCTGACACAGCTATGCCAGCAAGACTATAGCCTTCCTCTCAATTAGGTTGAAGTACTTCATATTTAAGCAACATTTATATCACAAGCTTTTCCCCTCACAGCACAGCGCATCCTCCCCAATCACCTGGCTTTGCATTGCTTCCTGCCCCTACTCTGGTAACCATGGATCTCCTAGACAACATTTACAGCATCAAGTGTGCAATTGCAGGCTCACCTAGAGCCATTTAAAAGGAGTTTATTTTTGATTATTTTAAAAAAATTTCCCTCCATCATACAGACAGACATTCTGCAATTTCTGATGAACTCCCATCCCCAGCTTACAGCCAATTCTGATCCACTCCTTGGTATTGTGGTAGTAAATGCTGTACCACACAAATGTGTGTTTGCTTTAGTTGTGTCTCCATCCTGTTTTAAAATGCACAACATGAATTAAATGCATCTAGTTTCCTCAGCCATATTTTCACTTTGAACATATCAGGAGGTAAACAAAGCAGACAGCTCTTAACTGATTCTTTTTTCTGTAATTAAGTGGGAGTTTCTTACCATGCCCAATGAAATTCAGAATGCTTCAGTGTAGATGCCTGAAAAAGAGAGAAAAGTGTTTAAAAGACAGTCTTTTGCTCAGTGAAAGTCTAACTCCACAAAAAAAACAAAACAAAACAAAACAAAACAACTATTGCCATCATAATTCTATAGGTTGAGTTAAATAAATAAATACTTATCTTATTAATTGTTGCCTGGAATCCATTTGTGCTTGTATCTCTTGAGTTAGAGGCCATATTTTAAAAAGTGCACAGGAGATTTGAAATCTGAGGACAACCTAAAGCTTGATTCTAAGAAGGCTCAGTGCACCAGTACTTTCCCATGGCGTGGGTGAGACAGGTTTAGTCATCAGGTGTGACAGAGAGCAGTCTGCTGCAATCCAACATTACATGGAGAGCCAACTAGAAAGCAACGTATTTAGCACATACACTGCACACATCACAATACCCTCAAAGAAAAGAAAATCAGGTGTTTCAGTACACAGGCTTTATTCAGGTCAGCTGCATTTCAGTCTCTCTGAAAAGCTACAGCAAGTGCCTGGATAGAAAGATGTTCACAATTTGGAGATTATTGCCAGACATCAACATCACTGTTATTCACAGGTGGGTGACACACTAAGGTTCTATGTATACAGCTGTTAAGACAAAAAGACCCTTCAAAATCATGAAAATATCTTTGCAAATTACGACTTCACCCTGAATCTGGTTTCATCCATCTCAGACTTCTCTTTTTAAAAATCCTTCTGCCTTTCTCTTCTGCAAGAGTACTCACTGAAATCCTTCCACAAAAGCTCAAATTGCTTTTTAAGGCCAGGAGCTTGTTTGTCATGTATTTAAACAATACCCTAGCATGGGGTGGGTGCAGTTACACAGGAAGAGACAGATGGGATAGGCTCAGAGACTGAGGAAGCCAAGCATCCTATCACACTGACAACTTTCACTTTTTCCTCCTCAGTCAAATGCAAACAACCTCAGCTCCTTCCCCAGTCCCACTGTTCCAACCTCTGAGACTCCCCATCTCCCAGCAATCTCTGGTGAGGTGATTCCCTGAATCAGAACTATAGTTTTTTGTACAACAGGCTTTGGGAGAGTTTGCTTTAAGGGGTATGTCCAAACACCCCTGTTGACATGGGAAATCTTGGCATCTATAATATCCCAGGGCAATTTCACAGCTACGGGAAGCTCTTTTTGGGAGCTTCAAAACTGTCACCTAACCATTCTCTTGAGGCTGCTTGGCTGCCATGGTGTGAATTATCATGAAATGAATTATCATTTTCTATTTGCTTTCTCCATGCCACTTGAGAGTTCATAGGCCTTTGTTTCTTCCTGCTCAGACAGATGCCCAAGTATTGTTTTCCACATGGGAGTCACTCCACATTTTTATCAATATTTCCTGTATCATCTCCCCTTCTTCTCCATCCTTTCTAAAATGATAGCGCAAGGATACAATATTGAATTGTGCCATGCATTTATGCTGTAGCATAAAGACTTTTCTTTTTGTTCACAATTTTTTTACCAATCAGTCCCAGTATTCAGGTTGGTTTGTTTCTTGTTCTCATTCCTATTGCACATTCAGCAAACATTTTCATACAATTATTATAAACCAAGCTTTCTTTCCAAACAGTAATTTACATTCCTTCACTGTGTATTTCAAATTAGAATTGTCTCTTCCTCTGCACTCTTCCATGTTCTGCCAGGCTGTCCTTCAGTCACTCTCTATGGTGAGGCTATTCTGCAGTCCCATAGCACATCCTCACCTCAGCTACCCTGTTTGATCTGGCATCATCAGGAGGCTTTTTTGCCTCATTCTCCACCTCTTTCAGGACTATGCCAAGCAGCACCAGACTCAAAAGCATGACCTCATTGGTCTTTCCATCCCTTCTCTAAAAGTTGGCCAGTTTCCCCTCACTTTTATTTCCTAAACTGAAATTATTATTGATCCACTTAAGGACCTTGCCCCTTAGCCCAGGGTAGCTTGACATCATTGAAAGTTTTTGAAGATGTATAAATAACAAAACAAACAAAACTTAGAAAATTTGTTTATGTGATTATAACAGAAGCACGAACATCCTGAAGCTCAAAAATCTTCTGTTCAAAATCTACTGTCCAACCCTTCTTTAAAGTAACCCTTACCCTTCACACACCAAGGTTTTAGCTTCTTCTTGAAACCACAGCATCCATTACACCCTGGAACAACTCCTCCCCAGCCACAGGAGTTACCCCATGTGTGGGGAATGTGTCACTCATCTCAAAGAGAGCTTTTCTCACTGTGCTTTCTTGAATCACAGGGAGCTGCTAACAAGAGAGCCAGTTCCAGACCCAGTTATAAGCTGCAAGTGCCCCATTGCTTCCAGGACCATTAAGCCAAGGTATGTAGTAGGAGACACCAGCTCTGGAGACTTTTTTTCCCTTATAGTTCATCTGGAAAGACATTTTTTCCTGTTCTTTTGTATTTTGGAAAATCTGTAGCTCTTCTCTCCCACTCTCAGCCTTCTTGTGCACATGCATAGGTTGAACAATGATGCATGTTTCATGCTCACACAAACCCTCTGGCTTTGAATGTCATTCAAACAACACAATACCACATATGGTTTCCCAGTGTTCAAGAGCAGTTCAGAAGTCCCAATTTAGACTCTGAGGCCCACCAAATAAAAAGGAATGTGATGCATATGTTCCCAGTTCTAGCTCAGCAAATATAGGCTAGAGGAAGAGAAAAACATCAAGCCTGGTAACTTAATATTACACTAGATGAATAAGTATAATTTTCTAAATAAAAATAATTGGCTCAAATATAATGCCAATAACCCTTCAGGGACTTGAGCTGGTGAGTACCATTGAGAATAATAAAAGAGGCAATTCTTACTGATGCATACACTTTAAGAACAAAAACACAGTGTGAGAATTTTAATTCCAATGATTTGGATAAAGCTGGCTGTCCTGAATCAGCAAGCAAAGCACAACAGCTACAGTGAAGTACAAAACCAAAAGAACTGTAACTTTTAGACAGCAATCCAACCTCAGCTAAGCACCATTCCAGGACTGCTAGGACAACACACCGAGTGAATGCTGAGCTACAACAAGTAGCTTCTTTAGGAATAGGATCCACCACAGGAAGTACAGGCCCTGGCACACCAGATCTGAAGTGGCTGGTGGTCCTCGCAGGGCAGTGCTGTGGATGGAAAGGTGTCTGCTCAGGCCCTGCATGGCCCTTTCCTGCACCAGAAGCAGTACATAATTGCTCCTCAGCGATGAAGAGTTGGAAAAAAAAAAAAAAAACTGAAAGAAACAGATACTGGTATTATTCGGATTCTGCCTTCTCCAGCAGATTTCTGCTCATTGCAGCCTCAAAGCACAGAAGCAGCTGGTACTTTCTCCTCAGAGGAGACTACTCCAGACACTGGTCAACATTGCAATTAAAGGATGCACTTATTCATTACATAGACCCTCTAGATTTCCCCAAGGCAACCAGTGAAATCCCTGACTACCTTTTTCAAGGATATAAACACTGTGGGAAGAAAGCAGTCAGCCCCTGCCATCCTGGCCAGGATGCACCTCCTGCAGCACATATTGCTTCCTTAAGACCCAGTGCAGCAGGGAGCAAGGAGTGGATTCAGCCCAGCTCATTCACCATTTAAAAATTAATGGCAAATGCAGCCTCTCTAGCTGCAGGTAAGGCACCCCAGAGACCTCTGAAAACTAATGTCAGCCCTCCAACTCCTGTTCCTATTACAGCACTAATCTTCAGGTTCATCCACACACTGGCAAATGCTTAAAGCAGCCTGTTAACTCTACCAAAGGACTGATTTTAACTCGGCTCACATACACAGAAAGGTAAATGCAACATGCCAACAAACACATTCTGCTATCAAAGAATGACTTAGAAGTATCAAATTTTTAATACCGCATACTTATTTACTGATGCCTGCCCTAGCAGGCATATGTAACCTAATACTGTATTTTACTGATATTGCAGATGGTATAACCAATCTCCTAAACTCTCAGCACTCTCAATGGATTAGTATGATGTGTGGAGCAGTTTTAGCTTACAAAGCACTACTTTAGTGTGTAGAGTTATTGATTTAACTTAGAAATTCTGCTATGTCGTGTATTTTTACTGATTTACTTTTACAGTAGTGTAAGAATATCATTTCTCCCCCCAAAAAAACTTTGACACACTTCCTTATCCAATACAAAATATTGCTCCTAGTAGGATTTCGGGACAGGTGCTCAGTAATCAAAATTATGGGTTTTTTGAAATATTTTTTGTGTTGCAGGGCTCCTCCCACATTAGTAATATATTTTCTTTTTTTTTTTTTTAATAAACCTGGCATACCCCCTAAACTTTCCAGAAATTCCTCAAAGAAACATCTGCAGTTATATATCAGTGTACCCTCTCCTCTCTTCCAGTCTCAAGCTGGGCAGATATTGATACAAAGGGAAAAATTCTCCCATCTGGAATACTTTCCAAACGTACCAATACATTTTCCTTCTTCTCAGCCATAGCAGTCACTCAATCCTCTAGTCTCCTCTCCTTTTGAATGCTGCAGGAATCTCCCATGTGCCAGCTCCAGTCCCAGCTCACAATTCTAGCATGTATGGAAAGCTGCAGCTGAATAGTGCATACAAATGACAGCAATAAAATAATTTTGTGGCATCACTAAAAGCTTATTTGGAAAGCACATTTTAAAAACAAGACCAAACCTGAGAACCACTCAGGAATGTCAGTGGCATTCTCCTCCAGCTTTTCTTCATCAGCAGCTGTCTCTGCAGACACACAACTCCAACTCCTACCTTCTGCCCTGCACACCTCTTTCATCACTGCATCACAAGTGTCTTTTCTTCTGTTAACTATTCTGTGTTTAAATCCTCCTTTACTCTGCAATGTTAATCAGTAACAGCCCCCACTACCTCTATGCTTCATTCCTCTGCTAATCAATGTGATATTGAAAGTGCTTCAATTTTACCTTATGATCACTTCACATGGCATAAACCACCATCAAAAAAGCAGTCTAAAGTCTAGCTCTATAAATATACTTTCCCGCATTTTGTTGGCAGAGGTAGACTTACATCAATAATTAAATATGCCAAAAGGCTCACCTAGTCTGTATCTTGAAGTACCCCAACTCAACACATTTTTGTACATGCAGTGAATTATAGTCTTTGACTGTATTCATCAAATTTCTCCATATCAGCCCATGTCCAGTAGCCAGTGACATGGCATGTGACTTTAGTAAGGGCTTAGACTTACAAATAGCTGCTGCACATCTGTTGATTCACATCAAGCAGTTACATGTATGTTTTTCTCTGGCTTATAGCAAATGCAGGATAACTCACAATAGCTTCAAAAAACTCTTGCCTCATAGAAAGAATGCCACATGGTTCTATGCAACTTCAACACAAGGAAATTGCCACAGAAAAGATTTACACATTAAAGCATCACCTTAGTCCCAGATACTTTACCTTGATTTACAGTGGTTCCATACCTTCACACTTTAAGATAATGTTATCATAGTATCTGGATGCTACCAAATTCTCCTTATGTTAAAAAATATATTTAAGTTTATATCTAAACTTCTGTTATGGTAAATAAAGCCCTGTAATTTCAGAAGGCACATAGATCATAGACAAATGGGTCTAGCAACCAAAATCTTCTCTCTCACACAATGATAAATTGTGCCATTCCAGCAGCTATTTAGACCTCACTGCCTGAACTCATGCTGACCTGAAACATACCCATTCCTTCATTACCCCCAGCTTGGTGTCATGTGCAGCATCAAACAACTTATCTTCTTCCTGCTTACAACACCTCCAGCAATAGCAATCTTTTCAAAGTTAAAGAAAAAAAAATAAAAAAGGCAAAAAAAAAGCAAACTATTTAAAATAAACTGATGCTTATGATGCTTATGAAGTTAAAACAGAACAGCACACCCGACTCTACGCTGTATTTTTCAGCAGCAGAATATCCTGCGGTGGCCTCAGCCAGCTGGGCTCTGTGACCCTTGGATTGATCCCATGAGTGTGTTCCCATTTTATCAAGCAATGAACACTCCAGCCCCAAAGCCAGCAAGAAGTTTGTCACTGACTTCAGCTGAGAACAGGAACCGGCTCAATCATAAGAAACCTTGAGCTAAATAAAGCGGCAAGAAAAGGCACAGGAGGGAGGTGGAGGGTGTCAGCTCAGAGTGCTGTGGGGCACAGCTCTGCTTGTTACCAAGGTTACTTCCCCACATAAGATTTCATTTTCAATCACCAATAAATCTGCAAAAGTTTGATCCCCTCAAGTGGGAAACTGGGGTTGAAATGCATTAAATATGTGCTGCATCCTGATTTGGGGGGTGGAGAAGCTTTCCAGACATAATATTGTAGGCAGTTTTGAGAAAGAGGTTACAGGCAAACATGTGGATGTGGAAAGCTCTTTTCCAGTAAAGACTCACCACTATGGCCCTGCTTTGGGTCTGACAATAAGTTATGTCACAGATCAAAAATTTACTGATTGTGTCAGGCATGTGTCTAAACAAAAACCTGCCCGAATTTGAACGGGTTGTAAGTCCTCAAACAGAATGGAAAAGAAAAACATCAGTTAAAGAAGAGTCAATAAAGATACATTCAATTTTTAGCTGCTTTAGCCAATAAGCTGCTTAGGCAATTTCAGCCATTCCCTCAAGGCTCCCAAGCCAGCAGGTTTGCTCCAAGCTGGGGCTGAGCAGGACTTTCCCTAAAACTGCAATTCCAGTGTGCTGAATGTTGTTCTGCATAAAAGCATGGATACCCTCTTCCTCCATCAGTGTGTCCCCAGCCAACACTTCATCTGCTCCAGTGAACATGGAAGAGAAAGTTTTCAGAACCAAACATAATAGGGACAAAAGTGTCAGGTTTAAAACATTTAGGGAGAAATATAGGGGAAAAAAGTATGTAGGTAGGGAAATTTTTCTCCCTAAACTCTTAATGACTGGCCTGGAGAGGCTGAAATTACAATAGATGAGAAATGGGATCTGAAAGTCATGGAAATGGAGATTCATGAGTATGGCACTGAAATCTGGCTTAAAAATCATGATGAAGAGGTGTGGCAATGTGGTTTGAGGCTCAGCTCTGATGATCTTGAATGCAGATGAAATGCTGAGACTGTGTCCAAGGGGTACCAACTGGCTGAAGAATCTTTGGAAAGGAGTTCAGGCTTGAGGTTCAGTGGGAACAAACCAACATGGCAGAAAATACCAAAGTCCACGCAGGGACAGACCAGAGGAAGATCCTTGATCAGGGTAATTTTTGTGGCTGAGACAAAAGCTAATATTTCTGTCAAATATCTGTGAAGTGAATCATAAATTAGATTGCTGCTGCTTCACGCCAGACTGTCGGAAAGATGCTTGGTGGCCACCAGTTATTCCACTAGTGGCCCTACTTGATGTGGTGGACAGGAAGACCTCTGTCCAACATTCACAGAGGTGCACATTTCACACCCTACAATTAATTTGGGGTTTGCAAAAAGTGAGTGGGCAGGGAGCAACTTCTTCCCCTGTGTCTCTCATATTCCCTGGTCATAAAAATGTAGTTTTATTTTAAAAGACTTGAATCTGTTACCTATAGCTGAATCCATTCCTGTGGTTCCTCAGCCTGTACTTATCTACACACCTCTATTTTTTGAAGCTCAATGAGAGTTAGGAAATTGTGTTTTGAAATGTGCACCTTGTCATTGCATAAAGACTTATACTGTGGAGGAAACCAGAAAAGGGATATTTTTCATGCTTGAGAAACAGTTACGGCCACATTGAAGAGTACAGCCTCCTTCTCCTCAAAGACTGTTTTAATCCTAATATCATACAAGAGGATAACTTTTGTACTACAGTAAAATCTGATCTGAGCAGCCTCATTGACTTAGGACAGCCTTCCTTCTCATGAAGAAGCACAGACAGTATTCTTCTGGGATCTTTTCCTGAATTTACTTAAAACATGATTATTTCAAGTTTTATGTGCTCTAACTTTTTGTTAGAGAAAACAACTCAGAGAAACTTTGCTAAATAAAATCTGTAAGCATCACTACAGACAGGAAAAACAGAGCCACTAGAGAACTGTACTTGCTCCAACTCCCTATGCAACCCAGGAGGTGATTTGGAAGAGAAGACATAATTTCCTACCACACAAGCCTCCACTGTGGCAACCCAAAAAAAAAACCAGATCCGAGATTATTTAACTCATGGTGACATTTGCCTTTCAGTAAAAAGGCTGAAAAATATCTTGATCAGTGCCATAGCTCATGAACTCACACAAAACTTTCCAGTTCAAAGCACACAATAAATCTGGCATATGGCATGTCTCACCTGCCACTCTGAGAACTACCAGGTCATTTGTTCCCTGGAAGGATCACTTCATTCAAATCCTGGTGATGTTTCTTTCCCAGTGCTACACTGACTGCATGGCTGACAAAGGAAAGGACAGGTCTTGCTAAACTTGCAGCATCTCAGAAGTTTCATCACCTCCAGGGAACCTTCTTGCACTTCCATTACTACTCCTTCCCCCTTCAAATGCTGCTTCTTGATGTTTGCTGTTCACCACAGATGTGCTGTTTTCTGTGCAGAGGTTGGGCCTGCACAAGCCATTTAGCCTGGCAGTTAGAAGAAAAATGTTAGAATGTCTTTTACAGAAGAACAAACATTGACTCACGTTAGGGAATGTCACTTGTGTGATGCGCTATTTTGCAAGACCACCATGGTTGCACTGCCTCACTCTGATCAGCCACATTAATATTTCAATACTGGACGACAACAGTTGAAGATTAATTCCAGTAAGTTATTCATGCCTGGAGGTTTAAATTTTCAAGCAGAAGCATGTGGGCTAGTCTATGGCATTTCAGCACATCCCCAAGGAAAGTGTGGTGGGAAGTCACCCAGCCCCAAGAGGATCAGAGTAGCTTGTACCTTTGCAAAATAATCCCTCTTCCTGCTTCTCTGTATCCAGGACACTTCACCATCAAAGATGATGTGCCAAGGGCCTTTTCTTGCTGCCAGCCAGCACTGCCAGACAGTATGCTTACAAAAGGTGTGGACATACTCAGCCCTATATCCCCATTGGAGGAAGACACATCATTTATTTAGCCAGGAAGCAAAAAAGGCCATTCTCAGACAAGCGAGACAATGTGTTTGTGTACTGATCAAGTCAGGACCTGTTTAGCCCTCAGCATTTATTTCAGTTCCATACTCCTTACATAAGAGTCTTCAAGCAAGAGAGACTTTGAGAACATGACAGTGTGAGAAGAGATCCTGTCAAAACATAAGTGTGAGGGCCTATGCGGTGAGGAGCCTCTCAAGAATGCTTTCTGCCACAAGAACAAACCAAATCCCTGGATCATTCCTGACACACACAGAGCATGAAGCTGATGTCCAGGAGCATTACTGCAAAGCCAGGGCAGAGGGGTTCAGCCAGCCAGCACCCAACCCTCTGCAGGAGGAGATCCAAGGAGTGCCTGCATCCCACTGCTAGTTTGCACCTAGGGTTTGGGGAATATAAACAGTAGTTTATTTGAGAGGTTAAACAGGTTATTTGAGATATTATATATTTTTTCCTGAAGTCATCATAATACACACTTTTTCTTCTACCATGTTTTTTTTTTTTTTAAATAAGGAAGGAGAAGCAGCCTACTTCTCAGGTGGGCCCAGCAATCCCAGCTCAACCCCAGGAATATCAAAGGGAGTGCCTTCAGCATGCAAAATTCCACTGAAGACAGGACTACAAGATATTAATTGTCAATCCCCACCTTTGCAATGGGAGTTCAGAACCACCAAAAATAAAGTCTCTAGTATAAAATTCAATACTACCAAATCACTACACAGAAGCCACCAAGACATCAGGTCTTAAACACATGAATCCAGTCATTATTGCCTTCTTGAAACTCCCTGCCAGACACCTCCATGTAGCAAGTAACAAAATACAAACATTTTGGCTAGATATTAATTAAGAGACATGCAAAGGAGTACAAATTGAATTCTTCAATATACTGAACACTATTTTAACAAATGAACCCATGTTTATACCAGGCAGAAGTTCAGACAAAAATCATCTTGAAACATGACCTTCAGCTTCCACATAGGAACAAACTACAATAAAACATTTATTAAATATAGCTGCAATTTCTCTACTGATTGGTACTGAAAATCCAAAGATTTTTAAAATAAACAACAAGAGTGTGAGAAGTTTTCTTGGGCTAAATATAAACAGTAAAAAACATTGATCTTTTAGGCTTTTTGAGGGACAAAAAAATCCAAATTTAAAGTCCTCTCCTTCTCTCCCCTTCTATGACCTGGGCAGAGACAGGAGACATTTATAATGATGTGCAGCAAAGTCAATTTTTCCACTGCTTTGCAATCATGTACCTCCATAAAACAGACAGAATGCTGCCAGTGGAAAGACAGAGAATTTCTGGTGTGTGCCTTTCATCCTGCTATTTACAGCAGTATGGGCATGAAACAGGCTCACACAGCTCTCATGGATCATTACAAAAGTCCAGGTCAACAAAGATCGGGCTCCTTGTCTAAACTGTCAGCTGTGACCCTCATGCAGATACCCTGCCTCTAAAACACACAGCACTGCTCTGGCAAAGGACTGCTGGAAGTGATTCTGTGCTGCTGTCTGCTGAGATTACACAGACCACTCCAAAGATTTCCACCCCTTCCACATCTATTAGGCAGCCTCTGAAATTCAGTGCTACCAATTATCCATATTGTAACGCAGCATGTTTTATGCAGCTACAAGTTACTCATGATCCCAAATACCTCGAGGAACTGAGAAAAGAAATGAACAAACAAACAAACAAATATGGGGGGGGGGGGACCTAGCCAAAAAAGAAAAAGGGAAAAAATGCAAACAACAAGCTAGAAAATCATCTTCACCTTAAGCAAGCCATGTTAGAGGCTCTATTTTAAAAGCAGCAAGCTCAGGATTTCAGCCTGAGATACAGACAGTGTTGAGACAAGGGGTTTACTCCAAATTCAATATAACTAGTATTTACCAGAGGAGGGAAAATGTTCAGAATATAGAGCAGGTCAAGTAAAAGGATTGTGCAAAATTGAAAACACCTGCAAGGTGGGGCACATATGGTAGATGCGCTGACTATATAGGAGTAGACAGGAAGAAAAAGGGGCTTGTATTCTGGATGGAAAAGAGCTGTCTACTGCCATGAGCCAGCATCTGAAACTGTTCAAAACCATTACAGCCACATTCCCAAGCAAACACTTGGGAGCACTTGTGCTGTGCTTAATCCTCACAGCTTCAGAGAGAACAGCATGGGAACTTACTAGACAGGGGCCAGTGCTTTCCCATTTTATCTCAGTCCTTCCCAAAGAGCAAAGGGAATGTTCAGGTGTAAGCAAGCATTTGCAGAAGTGTTGCTGCCATCCTGCTCAGGCTTCCTTCAACCCAAATTCTAGCAGAGCACAGACACAAGCACTCTGAGCAGATTGTGAGTAAAATACTGGGATGGGGAGGAAAGGGAAGGAGGCAAGAAACCACCACCCATGTATCTAAACGACAAGGGATAAGACAGTGAATTAACATAGCTGGGGTTATTTTCCCTTCAACTTTTGCATAAGAATAATTAAGCATTAAAGAGATAGGAAAAATTCTAAAAGAACAGTTGGAAATATATGGTTTTACATTCTGTCATAGCATTTTTTCTTAAAATAAAATTTATTTTAGTAAAATATTAAATGTTAGCTATAATAAGCTATTGATAAAACAGCGTGTTAAATATTAGCAAAAAAGCTCTCTAAATGTTGCTCCAGAGTCACACCCAAGAGACATTGAGAACTGGCTGTGACAACTCTGTTGCTTCCAAAGGGGCAGGAGCAGGGAAGACAGCAGTAACTCACCAGCAGTAGCTTTCAACATTACTCATTTCTTCCAAGCAACAACCTCAAGAAGAAAACTTAGCTCCATTCCTCCATACTGTTCCTCTCCCCCACTCCCCCAAATGCAGTCCCCTAGCAAGTTTAGGTTCTGATCCTAGCTGTCCATAAGTCTTGTAATAGTCAATAAAAGCATGAGTTAATAAATAGATAATTAGATCTAATTTATTTAATAAATAAATAATTAGATAAGTATTTTCATGATCCAGTCTGCCTTGGCTCTTGCTTCATTAACCCATGCACAAATGGCCCTCAAGCACAGGTGATTAACACTGCCAAAAGCCAGACATCGCACTTCTGTACTTCACAGCAGTCGAGTGTCTGAGGATGCAGCACACCCTTGCACATTAACTGAAGCTCCTACTCATCAGGAGCCCAAAGGAGCAGTACTATTGCAAATGCCATTTGATTAGTCTGTGACTCAAGGAGAAGAGCCTTATTTATTATTAAAGCAAAAACTCTCATTAAACTGTATTTTTCAGTAAACCTGGGACTAGCTGATCTCTACAACTCTTTAGCTTGTTCTGGTACAGTCTTAAGCAGCACACTAAATACAGTGTTTCACAAAGTTAGTTGGAAAGAGTTTGCAGAGCCTTTTTACCTCATTCACATTTTAGCTTGAATAATGAAGATGGACGTAGAAACATTTAACAGAAAAGAAAACTAAGACTTTCCCCCTTCCTCAAATTCTTACAGACCTTCACTTTGGGGGGCAATTCAGCCTCCTTTCAGAGCTGCTTTTAGAGACTGTCTTAAAACAGGTAACATTTAAGATTTGGAAAGTGAGAGGTCACATAATGCAATTACTTCAGATAATCAGATCTGCAGAGTTACTGAGACATCAGCAATGTTTGTCACTGCCTCACAGGAGCTTAAAGCACATAAACAAAATCAATTCCAAGTCCAGAATCCCAAACAAATAAATCTGTTACCCAAACAGATGAGAAAGAGGGAAGCAGTTTCTCCCGAAGCCACTCAGATTTAGATCAATAGAACAGAGTAACCCACTGTTTCCAACCACTTTAGAATCTTAAAGGCAAAACATAAATTGACATCATAATGTCATCTTAATAAACACAACCAACATCAGTATCACAGTCTAAGGCTACCTATCACTACCTACACCTTTGAATTTCTTTTTAAACAGGGAAACAAAATATGAAGATGTTTGTTCGTCTGTCTTTGAAATTAATTGCTGAGTCAATATTCACCAACAAGTAAGTCAGGACAAGAACACTTCCACACATGGTCCTCCTCCATGATGTTCCAGCAAACTTTCTGCAGAAATCAGTTAAGAGTTGTGTCTGTATAAGAAAGAGTTCAGCCGGGTACTGTGAGAATTATAGTGCACAACACCTCTTCTATTAGAAATAAATTATCTCATTTACATTTCAGTTCTGTGGAACAAGCCACTCTCAATAGGGCAGTTTGCTAGAGTTACTGAAAATGTACAGAGAAGTTATGTTTCATCATAAATGCACATTATGTTCTCATCAGAGAAATGAAAGGATAAACAGGCATATTACAGAAACTGCTTTTCTTGGAGGTCTCTCCAAATTTTCATGAACACAGTCTCTTCCTACCTTGCAGTGTATTGTTGCACAGCTAAATATCACAAGAAGTCTCGTTAGTTGAATGGAAATAAGTACAGAAAATATTGTATTTTTCATTGACCCTTTGGAATGAATAACACCATACAGATGGAAATCATACCCAAATATCTAAAGCTGTAAATAATTTAACTCTACAAGCTCTAAATACATTCCAATAACTACAGAATGTACTGGTTCCTCTCTTTTATTTAGAGTTTCATTTCTTTGAATTGTATACTTCTTAAAGTAAGAACCTGGTGGATCAGAAGACAGAAAGACAAACTCTTGTGTAGGTGCTGCAGCGCACTGAAATAACATTTCTAATTTTTTTCTCTTTTAGCAAAGACTGCAATCAGGGCTGGGTCAAAGTCTGCTTAGAGGATGGGGACATGGGTTTTACTGCATGCCTTTTGTACTCACTGTGATCTTAATATTGCTCATGAGAAATTCAAGTAGTGTTTGGCAAATAACTATGGCTCAGTGAAACAGCCAACACCCACTCAAATATTAAAAGACCTTGAAATACACTCTTCACAAGTTATTTCTACAGTGGCAATCACATGTTTATGGGGTGTTAGTACTTACAACAAACAGAGTCCTTATTTTAAGCTTTTAGGTAGGGAAGTAACATTAACCCAGAGCTTTCATTTCCAAGGAGACAGATGTAATCATTAAGTTGAAAGCTATTCTGAAGATTTCTCTTCAGCATTTCTAACTGGGCTTGCATCACTTTATACAGAACAATCATGGGAGCCAAAATGAGAACCCTTCCATGTCACTATCACTTTCTTTCTGGCTTTCAGACTATTAGCATTATTGTTTTCATGACAGAAGAGCTTCAGGATAACAGAGCATCCCAGGAGAGCCTACAGCTCTTTAGTGAGCATTCCCAAAGTAGGGTGAGAGATGGTTTTGCACGACGTCAAGATCTGGGTCAATGCCAAACATAACCCAGACCAAGTCTCTGGGATATCCAGTGGTGGAATTTCAACAAGCACTGTTTCCTTCTTTCTTCTCTTCCCATCTTCTGGGTTTTTTTAGAAAACCTCAAGATGAAGCAGGGTTACATCAGTTGACCAAAAATGATATCTGTAAAATGCTTTCTTCCAAGTTTCCCAGAAAGGGAAAAAAAAAAAAACCACACAGAAGAAACTCCTCTCCCAAACCCCCCTTCCTGATACCCCAAAAGAGACAGAGGGCTAAAACAGCATTATCCACTGAAACAGCTTTCATTATACATTGAAACATATTCAGATAATTTTCAAGATGATGTCAACGGTAAAAAATGGAATAGCTTGATGATGAACTCCCCTTAGATTCAAAATTTTATGTGTAAACAGAGAGTATGAATTTAGCAGTTCTACCCACCTTATAAGCACATTACTGTCAAAGGAAATCCTCACCTCAAGTGAGTACTTTTTTTACATTTTTTTTATAGACCCTGCCTGAGAACTGGGGCAGCTCAAGAAGGACACCTAACAGCAGCACACAGATTCTTGAGTTCCACACTGTTATCATCCCTAACCACTCGCTGAAAGATGCCTTGCAGCAGAGAGAGAAGTCTGCAGCCTACAGAGCAAGGAAAGAGTCAAAATGATTTTGCTCATTCGCCACCCCCCCTCCCTTATCATCATGCAGGAGGAGGAGGGCGATCTATTGATACTGGGTGTAAAGACAGCTGCTCTTCTGATCCAGCGTGGCTTTTGTTAGCAGCAGCAGAGCTGGTGAAAGAGAACAAACGCTCTCCCATACATGCATTGTTAGGGCAGGAGACAAAAGAATACCTGTTTTGAATCACTGAGGACTATTACTGTAACAAAGTACAAGATAACATTTCGCCAGAGGATACAAGAGATTCTGAGAGGAGCAACAATGAAACCAGACAACCTTTCTGTCATCTTATCAAAAACTGCTTGGGGTACTTACTGAACAGTGGGGGGGCAATAATAGCAAATAGAGAGCAAACACAGTTAATCTTTGCACAAAGGCTTTTTGATAAGTAATAAAATAGAGTTAAGAGAGGCGTGCTGGCCTTTGCCAACTCACATTGCTTAGAAGAAAGGATATAAGACAGGCCTAAACAATTTTAAAATAAACAAATCCATACACAACAGGGGAATGTTGCATGAATGAATTTTCTCATTCTCCTTTTTCAAGCAATTCAAGAAGCAATCAAAGCACTCCAAGGTTTGCAATGCTTTTACATACTTTTTTTGACACATTGCTTTACAGAACCTTCACAACAGCCCACTATCAGTAGCTTTGGTGTCACTGTATGGTATGTAAATGGAATAGGCAGATCTTTGACATAAAAATAAT